CCACTCTTGCTTCAAAACTTGGAGTAGATCGCTCTTCAAAGTTGGTTTTTGGTTGTTTCTTGACTTGCCGGTCGAGTATGGCCCAGAGGTTTTCGATGGGGTTCATGACAGGAGATTGGCTTGGCCAGGGCAACTTCTGGATACCATTTTCTTCCTGCCACTTTTGGGTGTTTCTAGCAGTGTGACACGGTGCTCCATCTTCCTGGAACAACGTTGTGTTCTTGTCCACGAAACCCGAGGAATAAAGTGGCAAGAGTCCTTCCTCCAATATTTCGACATATCTCGCAAAATTTATGTTGCCAATGCACTCCACTAAGCTCAATCTCCCACAAACCCAAACAGCTTCCCAAACCATCATGCTCCACAGTTGGCTGCAATCTGTTGAGCCAAAACTCTTGGTGAGGCATTCTCCAGACCCATATCCTTCCACTGTCAGAAAATTGAGCGTATCTTGATTCGTCTGAGAACAATACGGTCTTCCAAAAGTCCAGAGCTTGGTCATCATATCACTTGCCCACTTCTTTCGTCTGACTATGTTGGCAGGTCTTAATAAGGGCTTCCGTCTAGCTGCTCTGCAACGATAACCCAATCTCATCCCACCTACTTTGGCCACTTCTGCAGTCGTTAATCTGGGATCCATTTCGATGCTCCTCTTGACAGCCCTTTTTGTCCTCTCCAATGGAACCGGACGCTGCTCACTTGTTTCCTTGCAGTGTTTCCTGAACTGCACGATGATTCTGTTGACTGTCGAAAGCGGGATTCCCAAATTCTGCGAAATTTGCCGCTGACTTATTCCACCATCTGCTTGACCAACTATCCTTCCTCTAGCAAAATCTCACAATTCGAGAGAACCTTGAGTTCTAGGCATGTTGTAGCACAAGATAATTAGTATGCGGACCATTTTCATTTATATAGTGCTCTGTGAACACAAATTAGTTAGCATAAATCAGTTAAATGACGAAAAATTAGGTGTCTATTTACTTGTGACCACTCAGTGTACACAAAATCAATAATGTCATCTTTGTCAGAACACAGGTGTTTCCTACATTATTTATTGTCCCAAGTGAAGAGTTTATCCTTCCGATATTTCTAAACGTAAACACGGTAATATTACCAGAGAAGGCAGATACAAGATCCGAAAACGAATCTCTACAAATATTGCCCTTGAGAAATGTCTGAAAATGCTTTAATAAGACATGCATTAACCATATGTAATTGGAACGGGAAATAAGGTCAATACTGTACAAAGCAGATTTCATATGTGTGAAAGTCTGCAAGTATTCTAAAAGCATTTTATCTGAAATATTTTGAAAATTGCAGTAAACAATTTACTTTTCCAAAATAACGCACACACACACACACACACAAACAAACAGAATCAATCATACATTTCTATGTACCTCAACACAATTATTAATTTACATGCCAGAGGAGTTTGGCTCTCACCAAAGCACAGGCTCTTCTCCCTCCAATTGTGGTGTTCCGATACAGTATGCTTGTCATTGCACAGTCAAGGTAACATTAAAGCTTTCCTAATTGTGAACTTCGAACTACTGACCACAGGGAGGTAACTGGCTGGCAGCAATCAATTTTAATTTAAGAGTCTCCTGATTGATCAGCAGTAAGTTTATGGACTTACAATCTGGGGTTTGATTCCTCATGGTGGATAGAGTGCAGATAGATTATTGTATAATTTTGCACTAAAACAAATAAACTATTAATTATTATGCATTTTTTTTTATTTTGAACACGAGATACCCCATACAAATTAGATTATTCTAATAGTATTACCTCTGGTAATAATACCCAATTCAAATGGATTTAAGTAGTATCTATCCTTTCCACATACTTTTGTGCTCACTTATTCCACATTTACATCTTCTCTCCTCCAATTGGCCAGTGTGACCTCTGTTCCAACTATTCTTATTCCAGCAGTCGTTTTTCATTACCAATATCATTTGGAGATTTTACCAGTTTGCTCAAGGGCAGCGTCTTAAAGCTAGGTGACATACTTTCTCATTCAATAATGCTTGGAGACGGCTTAAATGGGTAACGAAGAACAACTTTAATATAAGTTTAACATAACAGCAAATGTACAACGTTTAGACAAGGTTTTGTCATCATCACCTCATGTCTCGTGCGAGTCTCTTTGCTTTTTCTGAGTTTTACTCATACATTTAACGTTGCTATTGTTCGATTACCTTTGAAGGGTTTGAGCAACACTGCCATTGAACACTCTATGAGGTCCTTCTTTGGTAATAGATATGTTTCTATTACCATATACTTAATTGTCGAAATCTATAGGATGTTACAGAAGTTAATAATAACATAGTTCCAGAGCTGAAAACCTAGATTTGGTAGAAGTGTTTTTTATATTCTAAAATCTTTCAAAAGAATCGAAATTTCGAAATTAATCATTATTCATGATATTGGCAACAAAGACCTTTACACAACATGTAGATGTTAAGGTGGGCACAAATCGGAAAAGAGAATCATTACTTTTGAGGCACTGGGAGAAAATTTTTGAGATTCTCCCTTAAATTTTAATGTGTTATTATGAATAATATGTGGGTAAGGGGAGCGACGTATAACATTCTTAATTGATCTGATTTGTACAATCACTTCCACATGCTTGTGTTAATGGCTTTAACTTGTATCAACGTGTTTAAACATATAGATAGCATTTAAATATTATTAATGTTCAAATTAAAATCGTTTCACAATGTAAAAGCTTTCGTTTTATAAATTCAGTGGCGATTTACTTAAGGAATATTTGCTAAACTAAATTCAAAATGATTCATTGTTGTAAAAATAGTGTTATTTCTGTAATTAATATCCTTTCTATCTGTTAACTTCAAATTTTTTGAATCACGACTCACGAGGAAAATTTATTAATATCATATTATTGGCCAGAAACGAGGTTTGAGAACCGTGGTGGGCACAGCACAGATAGCCCATTTTGTAGCTTTGTACTTAACAACGAAAAAACAGTTTCTTGAAAATACATTTCTGACAAAAAGTATTTAAATCTGCCCAGTGGATTATTCGCATAGTTTCATATTTACCGTAAATAGAATCATTTAAAAATAATGAAACTGTATTCCTTTTTGCATTTATTTATATATTTCAACTAAAGCCCATATTACACAATGGTATGTAGACTAAAGATAATAAAAATTACCAGATAATTTTTACCATTGTCCCCTGCAAAAATTAAACGTTAATTGGAAAGAAAGATTATCATATTTGAAATGGCATTGTCTTGAAGTAACACCATGAAATGATGTGCATGTATGATGTAGTTAATTCCAGCTGTAAAAATACTGTAAGCAGTATTCATTAAAAACGGATTTGAACGTTGGTCTATAGTATATTCCGCACATGTACAAATAAACCTTCACTTTATGTTATATTACGTATTTCTAGGGTTGAAGATAACCTTTCATAGCTTGTGTTGAGTTGGTGATTCAATATTTTTGTGTTAGTGGGCCTTCAAGTGGTGTTGCAAGGCCAGTTTGTAATAAGTGGAATTGGGCTCTTTTTTATGGTTGTTGTTTTTATGAGAGTTATGCTATTTTTAGAGAGTCGCAGGTTGCGGTTTTTTTCTTTTTCTTTTTTCTTACCCTGAGATCTCTTATTTGGGCATTTTTGTAATAGTTGATTTCAACACACAATAAAATGTTTGTAGGAGTGGTTTCAGTGATTGACTAGATCAATGAATAGCCTATACATCATTACATTTTTTGAAACATCCTATCCCCATTCCTGTTCAGTTAAAAAACACACTCACAATCGTGGTTAGGGCACTCGACTCGCAATGTGAGGGTCGCGGGTCCGAATCCCCGTCACACCAAACATGCTCGCCCTTTCAGCCGTGGGGGCGTTATTATGTGACGGTCAATCCCACTATTCGTTTGTATAAGAGTAGCTCAAGAGTTGGCGGTGGGTGGTGATGAC